AGTTCCTCAGTCTCCACTAGAACCAAGAAGAAACCTTAATCACTTGATGTCTCTCCTGAAGCAGATAAACTTGATACTTAATGAATCCCGACAGAGGAAAGCCTTGTAGCTGGATGAACTTTGATAGAAATATGCTCATGATGATGAGAAAATGACCCTGGCTTCAAACTTGAATAAAAGTGCCTCAAATAGGAACCTTGATTCAAAGAACCTCCTGCCCTCACGCCTTAGGAGCCTGATGAAGTGCATGATTGATAGTAAAGTTATGATATAATGGAATGCATAAATGATGAAAATGATATGATATGTAAGGCTAAGGTTAGGGTGAAAATGAGGGTGTGACAGATGCCCCTATTTAATCTTCTTGAACTTGAAGGTGAGAGTGGAAAAAGCTTTCTTACAATCAAGGTACAAGGGGATTAAATATAAGAATACCCAAAAAAAATTCAGTCGAAAAGAAGTGGAATAGAAGGTGATGAATCAGTGGGATGCCTTGAAAAAGGCACCTGTCAGTAGGAAAAGGTAATTGGTTATGAGGGATATGATGATATGCTTGAGATGCAATGTGAAATGAACATGAGTGCTTTACCAGTCTTAGAAGGGGAAAAATCCCAGTAGAATCCCAAGAGGGTGTGGTAATAGTACATCTGTAATCTGAAACCTCTTCTGCAAAAGCCAGAGGGACGCGTTGTGATAGGCAAGTGTGACTTGTTGAGAGATATTCCTTCTACTAAAGGTAGAGAGGACTCACAAATAAAAAGGTAGCAAGATATTCCTTCTATAAAAGGTAGAGAGGACTCAAGAATAAAAAGTCACGAGAGATATTCCTTCTACAAAAGGTAGAGAGCACTCAAGAATAAAAGGTACGAGATATTCCTTCTACAAAAGGTAGAAAGGACTCTAAAATAAAAGGTTGTGAGATATTCCTTATACAAAAGGTAGAGAGGACTCTAAAATAAAACGTTGTAAGATATTCCTTCTACAAAAGGTAGAGAGGACTCTAGAAATAAAGGATGTAACATGTTCCTTCTACAAAAGGTAGAGAGGACTCTAAAAATTAGTTTTCCTCTTGCAAAAGGCAAGGAGGACTCCTGAACAAAAGGTTAGGAAAAAATGATTCCTTCTACAAAAGGTAGAGAGGACTCTAGAACAAAAGGTTTGGAAACATGATAACTTTTTCTACAATAGGTAGAGGAGACTCCCTTGCGAGAAGACGGTCGTATTTCCTTCTGGAAAAGGTATAAAGGACTCCAGAACAAAAGGTTAGGAGAAAAATTTCGTCTACAAAAGGTAGAGAAGACTCCAGAACAAAAGGTTAGGAGAAAAATTCCTTCTATAAAAGGTATAGGAGACTCCCTTGGGAGAAGACGATTGTGCGTTGTTCTGCGAAAAGTAGAAAAAACTCATGCGCAAAAGGTTAGGAGAAAATTGCTTCTACAAAAGTTAGAGAGGATACTTACAAAAGGTAAGTTGAAAAGAACTCATGCAAAAGGCACAAGAGGAATTAAAAAAGGTAAGTTGAATCCATTGTGAAAGGAAAGTGGGAGATACTTCGTGAAAGAGACACGAAAAGACTCACAAAAGGTAAGTTGAGGGCAATAACCATCTTCCTGCAAAAGGCAGAGGAAACTTACAAAGGGTATCAGAATATCATTTGACCTCACAGGCACAACAGTGGAGATGACATTATCTAGTTATAGCGACCATTTAGTTCTTGGCCACACAGGCATCAAGTGTCCAAATTGATCGAAGATACCCAAAATAAAGTTTTGTCGCGTGTAAAAGACAGCGAAAATGCTTACAAAAGGAAAGTGAAGGGATAAGATTTCGCGCAAAAGGCAGCGAACACACCTACAAAAAGTACACGAGGAGATATCTTGTGCAAAAGGCATGTAAAGTCTTATAAAAGGTAAGGGAAGGGGTAAATACCCAGAAAGAATTCTGACAGGATGTCCACAGGAAATTGCGTCTTCGAGAACAACTGGTTAAGCGCGCGTGTAATACTGCAAGATGTATGAAAGGTGTCTATGCGAAATGCCTATGTATATTCGGGTTGCTGGGGATATGAGCGTGGATTAATGGGTGATGGTTATGCTAACAATGGTTGGGCTTAGGTTGGTGTGCCAAGTATAGTTGGGATTTTGTTTTAGGTGCCAAGCGAGATTGGACTTTGAAGGTGAATTACCAGAAGAGAACTAGTTTTTAAATGGTAGGCTACTAGATGAGAACTAGTGGAAAAAGGTTAAATTGTCATACGGGAACTGACTTCTTATTTTATTTACCAGACAGGAACTGACTTTTTTTGGTTTATTATCAGACGAGAACTGACTTCCTTAAAATGGGTTACCAGACGAGAACTGGTTTTGAAATAGGCTAAAGAATAAGTGACCAGACGGGAATTGGTATTTCATTTGTGATTTTCCAGATGTGTCGCGGTGAAAATCGGATACCAACTATTAATTAGTTTGAATCTTTAATTCAATTTGCAACTGATCTTTGATTTGTCCAAAGGAAGGGATAAATATCGAAATTCCCACAATGCAATGCAAATGCAAGTTAGAGAGTTTAGGTTCGGGGGTTGGTTAAACTTAGGGAAGGTACTAGCATCCTAAGTTTCTGTAGTACTCTACAGGAACCTCTTGTTTTATGTTTGTTTATTGCTAAGGTTTATCTACTTTAGGTTGAAAGACCTAGGGGTTTATTTCTAAGTATACTCGATAAGATATCGCATCTTATGCCTACATATCCTTATGGGAGTGGAATCAGAGTATTTGTAGTTCGCCTAAAGGGTTAGAGGAGTGCTTTGACTGTGGTCAAAGTTCCTACGGGTTTAGGGTAGTTGGTTGATTAATTTTAGGAGAAGAGATGCGTTATCATTTTAAGGGAGATTTAACCGCCACAAATTGTAAGAAAATAGTCTTTGCATCGTCTTAAGAGAAGGGCTCAAGTACTCGGATAGGGATCGACGAGGTATGCCTCTATCTCTCTTAAGGAAAAGTTCCTACGATATTGATTGTATTGATGTGGGGTGGAGATTCCATCTCGCTTAAGATGATTAACATCTTATTCTCTAATGTTTGAATGTTTTGTATTGAGTTGAATTGTTTTGTTCTAAGTTGTAAAGATAAAGACAAGGTCCTCCTATGGGGTAGGATCTATCTTAAGAGATCGACTTGAATGGGATCAAGGATCATGGGGAGCATGATGCAAATGACGTGCACTACACACAAGTGTTGACTCATGTGTAGGTTTTTCCTTTGGACGGAATGCGATGCGATGCAATAAAGATAAATTGTGATGAAGGTAAATTGCGAAAATGTAAAAGCATACACAACGCATGAAAACGCTGAAGTGTGTGAGAGTGACTCGTGAAGTGCGCGATTAGATTGTATTTTATGTTGTTGATTTTAATTAGTCGATTTTAAGCGAGAGGTTGTTTTTAAGATGAGTTGAGAAAAAGTTGTAGTTTAATTTTAGAATAAAGTTTGTTGAGAAATTGAGTTTTTTAATAAAGTTGGTGAACTAATTAGTTATTTTGAATAAGAGGAGTTAAAAAGGATAAATTTATATATGAAATGGTTTATTATAATTTGAAATAGTTACTAAAAGAATGTTTTTTTTATGAAGGGGTTTGCTGAATATATGAATAGTTTTAAAACAAGTTACTTAAAAAGATTTTTGGTGAATAATTATATTATTATTATTATTTTATTGGTTATAAAAAAGAGTTATTTAAAAGTTGATTAATTAAAGCAAAAAAAAGGTTAATTAAATAAATAAAACATTAATTAATGGTCTTATTAATTTTGTTTTTGAATAAAAGGTCTAATTAGTTTAAATTACTTAAATAAAATAAGAAAAAGTTAATCATATTAAGTTAATGGGCAGATTAAGATTATTAAATTATTTAATTATAAAAATCAAATGATTAGGTGACTCAATTAGGATTAATTAATTAATTAATTAGGAAGTGGATGGTTAGTTAATTAAATGGCAGATTAGGGATGGTTTAGTGGTTAATTGTGATTAGTGTGGTGAGTGTGTGCACGTGATGTGTGTATACTGGATTAACAAATTACAAAAGATAAAAAAAACAAAATAACGTGAAAACCCTAAATCCCTTTCCCCCCAAATCGCGATCGACTTCTCCTTCCATGAATCTCCGCCTTTCCAATCGCAACTCTTTCTCCGTCAATTCTTCCGATTTCCTGCTTCGACTTCTCCCTTTCTTCTTCGCGTTCGCCCCAAACTTCTCATTGAAACCTATCAAAACCCCACACACAAAAAAACATTAATCAGGAATTGAAATTATCAAATGAGGAAGATTGTTACCCCTGATGAACGATGGCAATGGCCCGCCGATGATTTCGTGATGGTAACTTGATGATGGTTTGTGGAAATGATGACAGATGGGCAACTTTGATGGTAGCTTCGTGGTCCCCGATATCAGCAATTTCGAGATGGTTTTGTGGCGGAGGACGAATAAGGAGATAAGTTTCTCTCCCTCCCGTGTTTTGAGTATCTAGGTTTTTTTGACTCTTTGGGGTTTCCGTGAATTTGTGGATTGTGGTTGCAATTTTTTGTGTAAAATTCTCTGTATTGTTCTCCTTCTTATATAGGCTGTGATATCTTCTAGTTTTAAAGCCAGAGTTAAATGTTGGAATATTTGCCTTGAATTTTGATATCATGTTACCGTAACTTATTTCCTTTTTTGGTTTAACATGCTTGGGTGAATTTGGAAAGAAATTATTGTTGATTCCGCCTTGCTGTTTTAAACCCTGAATATACCATTTTCCTTATGCGAATAATATTGGTGATAATATCTCTATCTGTTTGAGCATATCTCATTAATGTCTTCGATATTTTCCTTTTCTGACTCAACTCTTGGTATATGATTCATTATGCTTTTCCATCCTTGTTTGATATGTCTGATCTCGTAGGCAATGCGGTAAATTGTTTTCCATTCTTAAAGAAACGTGTTCTCCTCTGTTTGGAAAGTATTAAAAAAACTGCTGCTTGTGATTTCTAATTAAGGTTGCACCTTTATTGTTGATTGTAGGTCCTTGGAGGTGCGGCGGTAGCAATCTGATCTCATTACAAGGCTTTATCTCAGATTCAGATGATAATTCAACCCCTTCAAAATCACTGATATCCCATTCTTCGATGGTTATTGTGATAGCTTGTATGGTCGTCGGCGTATCCTTGGCATCGTATGGGCTACTACCAAGCTCTACTTTGGGAAATTTTGGCCTCTGTAAAGTCTTACCACTTGTTCCAATCTGGCCACCTTGTTCAACTTCTTTTGTCCTCCTTTGTTTAATAAATTGATAAGCATCAGAAGCAGCTACACAGCCAGAAACTCGAGCTTCTTGTAAGTCTTGCATTCTTGACAAGACGGTGTTCATAAATAAAAGTTTTTAGCAACTCCTCGTGTTCTTCTTCCACTGAATGTCTGATAATGTTATTAATTGGATTTCAAATGGTAGGTTCCTCATCTGAATGATGCTGCTATGGATGTTTTGGTTCTTCCAAGCCTTAGTTGAGTTGTTGCTATTTGTGAATGTATCGGTCGACCAATTAGGGAATGCTTTCAGAATTCTTCTGCAGTTCATGACTATAAGTGAGGAAGTATTCCCTTGTCCACTTTTGTTAATGCTTTGCTGACAGTTTCTGTTAAATTGGATGACTGCTTCTGATAAGCTTTTAAGCAATTGCGACATTGTCTGTGCATTTTGATTACTGATCGTGTTATTTTGATCGGTTGAAGGGAGTTGTGGTGGTCGTGAGTTGGTTGCGCAGGAGAGAAGAAAAGAATGATGCCTCTGAAATACTCAAGTTAAATGTCAAGTGATGGTGCAGTAAGGTATTGTAGTACGTTCTTCTTGTTGCTATGTTTGTTGGTTGAGTATCTCCCGCCTTGCTCTTGACTAAAAGAATTTATCTAGGCTTGGTAATTCTGGTTCAACTTGATCCTTTCTTGATGTTCCATCCAAGGCTGACTTTCGCAATTATTCTTGCAGGAAAATTAATTGTTGGATTGTGTTGCTTGGGTCTTATCTGTTGTCCTTGCTCCGTCTGCTTTTCTCCACGGACATTGTGTTCAGATGAATTCCTAGAAGACGATCCTTGAGCTCGATTCATCGCCTGCATTGACATTATGTCTTGCATTTTAGATTTCCCCTGCGCATTTCCTAATCTTTATAGATACAGGGTTTAACATTCCCATCTCAGCATGCTGTTGAGAATGAACTCCCGAAGCAAGCTTTTGTGGCGCAGCCAGGAAAGCATATTGAAGGTATGCTTGGTGGATGGGGTTTAGCATTTGTTGTTGCTCGCTATTGTGACCTCTGAGCCGAGCATCTTGATTGGTACCATGTTGCTGAACTAAATCGGTGAATTTTCGAGACTGCTGGGGCAGTTGCATAGCATTGGGTTGTTGGAAATTGTTACTCCCAAATACACCTTGACACCCTGCCTGATAAGCTATAAAAAATGTTTCATTTCCTTCTGGCTTTCTCAGCAGCTATGGTTGAAATGTCTGTCTAGAACCTAATTGCTGCTGTTGTTGATGGTGCTTTTTCTGAACATAGGCAAGAGCAGGATGATTTAGTTCTTATGTTATTTGACATAGGATTGGATAATGCCAAATTATTCATTATGCTTTAGAGTTTAGAGGAACAGCGCTAGATCAACTTAGTATTGATGCTTGAGTTTTACTTTTTTCATGACCATTAACCTTTGAAGGTCATTTGTGATGCTTGTACACAACTTGCAACTTTAGATTTATGTAACTTCACATAATAAATCCCTAATTTTCGATCCTGTTAATTTCTTCTTATTACTTACATTCTAGCAATTATTCTCCACCCATTTATGTGTTGCCATCAAACAAATCCAACTATCCAGTGAAGAAAGACTTTACACTAAGCTTCCAATTGCCTTGTTTTGTTTCTCGAGCCACAGTTGCAATGTCACCCATCAACATGAAATGCCCTTCCGTTTCTCCCTAATTAGAAACAACACCCTTTTTAGTTATGAAGCATTTCAATATCTATAATAAGATAAAGTCTTCGATTGATTTTCCAAATTCAAAATAAATTCCATTCCTGTATTTAAGACTATTTTGTAACATATGAGTCTTTGGGCATAGTCACATGAAATCAACTCGTGGAGTTTGAACATCAAGGCCTCGGACCTTAACCATATGAATCCATAACTTTACCATTAACTTGCACGCCCTGGCCTCTAGAAGTTTAAAATTGTAAATCTATAACCTCTTGCGCTTGAGTAAAAAACCAAAATTTCTCTCATGGTTTGAATTTAAATACTGGACCGAAATAAGGATGAATTTGATCATAGTAGACAACTCTTGACAATAAAATGGCATAAATCTCAATCTTCGAATAATAAGCCCTTATGTGTATCACTTCGTGATTCCCTAAACTTCCAACAGTAACCTACCTTTCACAAATCAAAACAAACAATTGGGTTGAACAGTTAGCTATGCATAATGATTGACTATGAGAATGAACGCTATTTCCACTCGATATTACTGCGTCTGCACAAATTGGTTAGTCACATAAATATTAAATATTAAAATGAAGTTAAATAACAATAGAAAAATGCAAAAAGAGATGGGATCTTAAGGTCAAAAATTAGGGTGCAACAAGATGGAAACTGGGTTTTGAAGTGGTTTAAGTTACAAGGATGTTGGATTTAAGTTGTGAGGTTAGGCTCGAGAAATGAGATGATATACATGACTCTATGCATAAGCAAAGTGACACGACTAATGTGTGAAGATGATTTATGTAATGATATGAAGGTTTCCAGAAACAGAATGGGGGACTTTTATAGCAAGGCTTTTGTTTGAGAAGAATAATTTAGTCAGGTGGCTTAATAGCATGATTCTCCGACATTCGTCTTGAACTCAATGGAGATTGTTGATGGGTGGTAGAGCTTGCTTAAAGGCATGGAAAGGAGTTGCCCCAGTTTTAGTTCAACTTGTCCCAGTTTGGAGGGTCTTTGGAGAATTTGTTCTTAAAAGAGAGATTGGAGGTAACTTGCCATGAGATGACCTTGGGATGGCTTGCCCCAGAATTTTGAGTCATGAAAGGATTTGTCCTTGATTAACTAACTCTTGAAGTGGTTGACTTCGACGTACTCTTGAGGTTGCTTGCCCCATAATGAGTTTTGAAGTGATTTAACTTATGTTGATTGAGCATTGGAGAGACTCTTCCTTAATCAAAGAATGTTCAGGTTGCCTACCCCTATTTGGTAGTGTCTTGAGATTATTCTCTTCTGATCAACCGATTTTTGAATGACTCGCCCCATTATCAACTGATGCTTGAGGACTTTCTTTAAACAAAACAGTTTCCTTGGTCAACATGACATGCCCCTGATCTACAGGACTACAAGGTATTCTTGATTATGATTCATCCTGTTAAGTGATCCAGACCTCTTTGATTGCTCCTTGTTGGAATTTCCTCGATGTCAAATGCCGACTTGCAATTTAAATTGTTTATTCACAAATGGTAATTTTAATGCGATTTTCTCATGCAAGTTTTGAAAAATCAATCATTATTGGAATGATGTGATAGTTTGTAACGAATGAACCATTAGTCCAAACATAATGTTGATTTAGCCCATGTGAAAGATATAGCAAGAATATGACACCAATGCTAAAGATTAGCAAATCTGTGGGGATTTTGATGGTTGTAACATGGTTTAGCTCGCAGTTATAAAAACAAAGGATATAAGGCTCAAAGTTTGATTTTAACCCACCCTTTCTTCGTGATGACCTCCAGTCCTACATTCAGCTAATTTGGTACACACATGTCAAGAGTTGGACAGTGTGAGAATGAAGATGAGAATTAAAGACTTACTTAAAATGGCAATCACTTTATTTTATTTTTTGATGGATGTCAGTGACCTTTCTAATCTTTGTCATGATGGTCATTGAATCTTATTTTACTTCGAGGATTTGAGGACCTCTTTTTCTTTATTTATCTTTTGATCCCTAACTTTTTCCTAAGTCACCTCTATGGGTGGTGGAACTAGCGGGTTTTTTATAAAAAAAAAATTGGAAAGGCTCGTGACTGCCATGTTTTTGGTCGTTAAAGAACAACCGTCATAGCTTTTGCAGAATGGAATACACACTTGACATTTGCGTCATAGCCTAGAGGAAGCGGTGTTGGAGGAGGACCAAGTTTCCCTAACTGGACCAGTGAGTTACTGAGAAACAAAGGGAGGAGTCAATTGTATGACATGGAAATTAGGTCAAAGTATTTATCTGGCCTCCTTGGTCTGTTCTGGCCTCGTGGGGCGGAGTTTTGCCATTGATCTGGATACTGATTCTGACTCCGCGCTTGGTTCCTCTGACCTGACTGAGGATCAGATAATGGCCATTGATAGGGACACTTTGGAAGTCCATGTGGTGGGATATGTTCACGAGGCATCTCCTGACATGAGGGTAACATACATTTTTGCACAAAAGCGAGCATCTATGTGGCAGCAGCTGGTGCAGGAGTACCTTATTTCCTCATCAATGTTTGCAGGATCTCCATAATCAGGTTCACCTGAATTTTTAGTTGTTTGACCTCCTCCTTCAACAATTATTGGCCTTTCTGAAGCTCATACATAGTGATCTGAGACATGTTTCGAGTTATGAGCGTATGTCGGGAAATCAACTAGCTGGTTAGAAACAGAAAGCGGTATGAGGTTTCTTTGTGGACATGGTATGTGAAATGCAAATGCAATGGAATGAATGTAATGGGATGCAATGCAAATATTTTAATTTATTATTTTAGGACATGGGATCAAAGGTCTGAGGTACGAGTGAAGGATAAAACTAGCTATCTTCTGAATAGGGTTCTCACCATGTGTGTTCTAAGGTTTAATAGGGAACCCAAAATCATAGGTTCACACGAATGTTTATCATATACGACATGAGCATGTCAGTTGATAACTCCATTACATGAACCTCTTTTGGGTGAGATCTTCGTATCGAACCTCACAAGAAGAGCTTCTCGGGGACCCATACTACGAGACCACCGACACTGGGTTCTAGACAAGGGTTTCAAAGTCATGGACTTTCTTAACTATTTGTTACGTATGTCAGTCATTGCCAGGCAACAACTCCATCAAGAAAGTTTCTTCTAAATGAGATCTTCGTATCGGTCCTCGTGAAAAGAGCTTCTCTAGGACCCATACTACGTGACCATAAATCTTAGTTGGCCAATGGTTTAGGGTTGTAAAAAGGTCCTTAGAATCATGGATTCCTAAGAAAACATTAATCAAACACGCCAAGAGCATGATGATAGTCAATTTTCTCAATAGAATCTACTTTAGGCGAGGTTCTCGTGTCGACTTTCACAAGATGAGTATCTCGGAAGCCCATACTACTCAA